AGAATCGCGCCTAAACATTAAGTTAACCATTATGAATGAATTTTGTCATGATCTTTGGTTTTGGCTGAAACACATATTTTAGGCATCTCGCTGACAGGTTGAATATTCCACATTAAAAAGGATATATTTATATATATATATATATATATATCTACTAAATTAAGAAGGCATTAATGTGTGCTACGTGAAAACTTGAAATTATTCTTGCAAAATTTGATAAGTGAATTTACTATCTGCGACTTCTGAAAATAACTTTATGGCATCAAAGTCCCAAGGTCATTGGCTGGCGCCTGAATCTAGAGGCACTAACCATTTTGACCACTTTGAACTCAAATACTGTTATAGTTTTGTTGATCGGTGTGTGTAAAACATTCAAAAAATATTTGCAATGTCCCAATATCAAAGAATAATTCTTCGTGTGATTTAATGCTGAAGGTCGCAACTTTCCTCACTGAACAGAAACAATTTTGGTGCTAGAAATTAGATTTTGTTTTCTCCTACAAATATCTGATTTTATTTATAGTTTTTATTGCGCTGTAAAATGTGCAACGCCTTATTGAAACGAATACTCAAACTATGTCGGCCCCCAGGTTGTGTCAATCGATGTGGAATATTTAAATGTGTTCACTTGCAAAGCCTTTTTTTAAATTTATTTAACAATGAAAACACACAGTGTTTTACCTCCTTTTCACTTAATAATTTATATTATTTGTAGAGTAGTTCATAAAATAAGAGTAAATCAATCAAGCACGCCTAATACCCTTAACGAATGAAATCCGCAGTTTAAATGTCTCTAAAAGGTGCCTACTACAACTTGTATCTTAATGTAATTTTTATTTAGACTGGTCTGAACCAGAAGAATTGTTATTGTACTCAGGGATGCATAGGCTTCACGCAACAAATGAACCGCACGTGTTCCCAACAGGGGATGCATGTACGACAACACTTTAAATTAGGAAACGGTTCACATGGAATTACTTAAGAAAGGAAAGTGTGTGTGTGTGTGTGACACATTAACTTAAAAACATTATGGAATGCGTACATCGGCAAAATCTATGACTATTTAAGGCAATTGAGTACGAATTCAGAGATCACTATATCAAGTGGCATTGTAGATTATAGAAAACTGACTTACCGCTGAGGTTTGCAAATAAAAAGTTGACTTAATTCAAATTTCTGAGTTATATGGCTAAATAGTACTAAACGGTCACCAATTATTGGCATTAAGGACTTAAAAGTTATTTTGCTAATAATTATATTACATTATCCAATTGTTCATTTACCAAATTTGTCAATTATTCATTAAAATGTTCAAAGTTTCTAGCCCTTTTCAAACAACAATAGAATACGCTAACTTTTTTAATGCTCTTTACTTTAAAAGTATCTGAAAACGAAAAGTATAACATTATAGACAGGTAATTTGCTTTATGGTAAGACAAAATGACTTGTCATTCTCAAATGTTCAAACAAAAATGAGGAAAATTAAGTGGAGCGAAAAATCCACTTTTGCCTAAACAATGCCTAAATATTTGTCAGTTATATAGTCATAATAGCATAACAGCGGAATTTAATCTAAATAGGTGAAGCCAATTTGTTAGCTAACATTGTAATTATGGTAGAATTTGATTAGATTTTATTATGCAAATGTATTCAAGCAGTATTTTGAATGCAATTTTGAAGTAGCAACACTGGCTATTGATTGTGCACGTTACCACGAAGCAAAATGAAGTGAAAGTGTTTATTTCTGAGCTCTGCCAAGATTTGAAAAAATATATAGCTTAATTGTAAATAAACATTTACCCCACAGGTACTAATTTCTCTCCCCACGAAGTGCACAAAGGTAGCAATGTACTTTCTTCAACAGAGAAGATTTATGTAAACAAAGACGTGTTTTGGTCCATTAATATGATCATTAATTATCCAGTAGGTTCCTCGATGAGCACCATATTTATTATTTATAGGGCGTGGTTATTGGGTCACTTTAGAGTTCTACCTATTGCTGCAGACTTCTGGCTAAAAATAAACCAACCTCTTCTTTATCAAATTAGTTTTCAATAAAAATTCGTTTCAGTAAATTCTTAGAGCTTATAAACGATTGAGAGAATTTTAAATACCGGATATTAATCGTCTATATGCATTTGGTGAAAATTCAGAATTATTATTTAATCAAATGTTTACCATAAAATAAGATTTTTAGGGACATTATCTCTAATGGCAAAATGGAATCTGACATAGAGAACTTTTTTGAAATTTATTTGTAGTGCATTCGGTAATTGGTAGGCATCTATCATCAAAATATTCAATGTTTAATGTTTACGTTTGAAAGGATTCATCTAGTAGATGATGAATAAACTCCAAAATTAAACAAACGACGACAATTTCAAGTAGAAGAGCCAGCAATTTAATAATTTACGCAAATCACTCTCTAGTTATGTAGAAAAAAAATTAAATAAAGCTTGATTAACTATGTTTTAATTTAGATGAGAGGTTCTCCTAAAAATTTTAAATGTAAAAGTGAACTGAACAACATTGCATGTTGTTAATACTCAGGTAGATAGGGATTAGGGTGTAGTTAGATTATGTGACTTATTTTATAGACAGATTAGCAAATTAATGCTACTTAAGTTGTTCTCTTCGAAATCACTTAAAGCACGAAACGATTCAAAGTATTTAAACGTTTATAGGTACACAAAAATGATCAGATGGCTTAACTAAATTTCCGATTAAAATCGATATGACTAAGGCGCAATGAAAAATAAGTGAAATTACGTAATTAATTTTGGCTTCTCAAAATCACGTTGTTCACTGCCCTTTTACCCTGACCAAATAGAATGGCTTTGGGCAATCCGACTCGAAATGAGTTTAGCATCTATTCTCAAATTGCAATATTTTCCAAATTTAAATTATGTTTGGGGGGCTTATTTATAAAGTCCATTCTTAACTGCTTTTGTCACAAAAGAACTTTTAAGCTATAAAATAATCTCTCTAATTACCGGAGTGATCTCAAATCTTAAAGTTCTTTTCAGAATTTCCTGCTGTTGATTAATTAAAACAAATAAAAGTCCTCATAATCTCTTTTCCCTTTTCGTCACAATGAAATTATTAAACTTAATGACCAGGAGTTAAAAGTCGCAGGCATTTTAAGTGCTAATTAAAGGACTAGTCTGCTAAGGGCAAACGCATATTGTTTTTTTCTGATTCAAAATGGTATCTCTGCAAATCAGCAAGTGAGGTGTCTGTTTGTGATCAGAGCACTTGAGTAAATTAAGCTTTTCGATGATGAACCAGACTGCCGCTATTTTTAATTAACCCACACCCAGCCATGTTAATTATTTAATGGGTGTAGTGGAGTGAATGAGAGCAACTATAAGCATTTTATTACCCTTACAACATCCACTTATATTCAATAGCAATTGTGTCCCATTAAAAAAACGAAGGTAAATTTACGCCGATGTAGTTCTAACAGCAATGTGTTCGATGGCAGTGGTGAAACACATGTCAGCAAATAGCAAGTAAAAACTTTTACAAATTTGATCAGTGTAAATGCATCTGAATAGGGTGGGTAGCAAGCGTTGGCAATCCGATACGATACAAGCAGTGATGTGCACTCTGAGTAATGAAGTCGTTGAATCAAAAGATTAAATGGATTATTCTGTTCATAAATTCAAAAGGAGAAGGGCTTCCTTGGTTGTGTTGTGCCCTTGTCTTTTGTGTAACTGAAAATAGATTTGTACCAAAAGGTATTCGATTTTTTACTCAATAAGAGCAATCAATAATTTAGAACTTGTGTGATTATCAACTTTGTTTGTCATTGGCTTTTGTTGTGCAAATGTAAGAAATAAGGAAAAGGGTCTTATTTGAGCCAAATATAACAATAAATAAATGATTGCGTGAAGTTTATTTATTTAATTAGAGCTATCGACTCACGTATGCTCATGCCCTGATCGATCTCCAATAAGAAAATCCTCTAAGTATCCAGTGATGGAAAAATCAACCTTTCACAAACTATCGATGCATATCAACCGATCTGAATGACCTTCTGCACTGAATTAGTGCGGCGAGTAAATAAGTGTCAAAACGCATCAAGGAAACTCCTTAATACTCCCCTTTCTGCTCACAATGGGTACTTTAAAACGTTTTTTTGCAAACGGTCGTATCAGTTACTTTCCTTCTTCTACTTTAGCAAAATGAAACAGAACCTAATTGACCAATGTGTTTTTTTTGCTTTCTTGCCAACTGATCTTAAAAGCAAGTATAATTGGTTGATTTAACTTTAAATAAAGTTAAAATTGAGACACCCTTTATTGTAAAGATCAAGAGTTTCTCAAATCGATTTCCCGATGAATCCATTTTTCAAGGTCATTTTAGTCAAAAAAAACAAAATTCACTTGACATTGGTATTATCGCCTTCTTAGTGAATAATCACCCCAGGGGTATATGCGTATTCATTAAAAACATTACCTAATTAAATAAGCGCTTTAATGAATTGACTCTCTTTACACGAGCAACCGCTTAGAGGCAAGCCAATTAACATCAATTGGCAGAAGAAAATAGTCTTTTTGCCTTTTTCATTTCAGGAGATTGAAACTGGCTACGTGTTTGTTCTTTGAACTGTAAGCATTTCATTGTGACTTTCTTAAATTTATCGAAAAAGAGGACCTTGGACTTCAGGTGATTAGCTTGGGGTTGTCGTCTCCTTCACAAGTCTTGAAATGTCAAATGAATATTTTCATCTCACTAAAATTTTGGAAAAAAAACGCTAGAAATTTAAGCGAAAGAAACTAGGTTAACTCTGCACTACCGCTATCATAAAATGCGTAATTCCTTACTTTAGGTGGTCAGGCCGGACTAGCATTGCTAAAAGCAAGAATGGAGGGGAAAATAGGAGTCTGGAGCTGCGTCATCAGGCGTCTGGTGAATCTGGCAAACGCATTTCGGCAGGTGGATCAGAAGCTGGGCACAAGAAACATCTTCCACGTTTGTGGAAACAGACCACTCCCATGAGTCAGGCTATTATACAAAACCATCTGGAACATCAGAATCAGAGCTTTGGGCGCTCTCCGTCCAAGAAGGAATTAACTGTTCCGTCCTTTGGTTTTGATTCTGGAGATGTGAGCATGCTTCAGAGCTTGGAAGAAAACCCTGAAGAAGACTTCATGACTTTATTACCACCGGTATCTTCGCAAAGACGATTTAGTGACAATCCCTTGACAGCCAAACAGCGCGTAGGTTGTGCCTTTCAGACGATGATGTCTCCAGCTATAATCAACTACTCCACTCGTAATTTAGAACCAAAGGTCAAACTGCGAAGTGCTCCAACTCGCTCCTTCTGCTGTATTTATCATAAGAGACAGGGTTACGACAAGCCCTATCGTTCGCCAAATTGTACATGTTCTTGCAGTCAATTGAGGAAAAATCCAACTTCTAGCTCCTATACGGAAATGATTATGCTGTATCCCGGAGAAATGTTCATGCCCAACTGCTGTTACTCTCCTCATAACTCAGAAAATTTACCCGCTGAAGAGTGTTGCAATTGCTCTCGACACCGGATCAACAGGTACGTAGTTGAAGAAATGACTACCGAAGGCGTTAGTAATCGGTGTTGTTCCCCAATTCCCCACCAACCCCACATTACCCCGGTCAATCTTGGTAGTCCTCCCTTCCTAGCCTCTCCCTATCGAAACACTAATTCTCAACAATTCACACAAGAGCGTATGTCTAGACAAATTTGTCACGATCGCCTAACAGCTAATAGAGACCCTGAGGCACCGTTTTTAGACATGGTGTCAAAGAATGAGACATTTGAGCAAGAGTTGCAAAGACGACTTGGTAGGGAGGCGCAGAAGGAGTGGAGTGAGGAACCAGCATGCGGACCCCAACCTCAGCATTCCCGTCTCATCCCACCTGATCTGGTATTTAGCCCTGCATCCAGGCGTGTATCAGCTGTGGATATCGGTGAGGAAGTCGTCGGAACATCTGTAATTAATATGCTAACAATCAATTCGCCATCAAGACAGCTTTCTCGACAAAATTCAATTTACTCAATGGAAGAGTGCGTTCACCAATCCACTATCTCACCTCAAGGAAGTTTATGTTCCGAACGAGGTGCTTTTCTAACGCCTGAATACAATTGCATTGCTCCCATATCGGATCCAATTAATACTGAACCCAAACAGTGGGTCAAGCCTGCTAGATCTTTTGACCAATTTTCAAGAAGGAATTTCAGTGTTCATAGAGCTGCCTCGCACTCTCCAAGTCATCTTGCTATGCATTCTCAAGAACATTCAAGATTGTCTACTGTACATCGATCAGATACGGACTGCTTCATGAGAACTCCTCAGCATCGTAAAAAGAGCGGGTTGAGTAAAACGGATGGGACTTTGAGTATAACACCAGAGTTTCTCTCTCTAGATTCATCGAACAGTGACCCTCAGCACCAAGAAGCTGAAATGCTGAAGGAGCATCTGCTTCCATATAAGCCCGATGGGCAGAAGCATTTCAACGAAAAACAGCATTATCGTTCTGATTCAGGTGGAGATGGCAAAACAGTTCCAATTCTACTTAAATTCAAGCCCACATCATTGACAACTAGTGCTGATTGTTTAAAACAGAGAAACGTGCCACCAGGAACTGACGTTTTAAGCGCTGGACATCAGAGGGTTCCAAATTGCATTAATTCTCATAAGTATCGTGAGGCGTCCAAACGATTAGCTCAAAGGAAGAAAATGCTGAGAACGGGTAAAGATATGCATCCTCGTAAGAGTCTTGAAGTCGAGTCTGCCTTTTCATCTTCTCAATCCAGTGGCAAATCTCAAAACATCTACATTAGATCAAAGTCTTCGGAAATTGATATGCGTAGTGGAGTTTCACCGAGTAAGAAATGTGTGAGACGAGACTATACCATCGATGAGAAGACGGATGAGATATTCCAGACTTTCCTACAACATGATCCCCTAATGGACGACATGACCACCCAGCATCCGCCAAGGGGAAGGAAGAAAAGTCTGCAACAAACTTGACGCGTGAGGGACCAAAGACCCGCAAAAAAGACTTGTCTTATCTCTTTTCAAACCACCTTTCCGTTCCTTCTAACCTAATATTTTTTGGCAAGAATCATAACCTTATACCGGTCGTTGCGGCTGTGCTCACTTCGGCGGCGAAAATAACTTTTTAATGCGAATCAAATGCATGTTGGCTGTTATCCAAATCCGCAATAATCACAGATCTTATGTTTTTTATAACATTAATAAGCAATTTTAATGAACTCTAACTTTGGGACTAAAATAGCCAAACATGGAAAGAAAGGTTAGTTTTTCAGTTCCGTTTACTAGGTTCGGAGTCAACCATACTTACAATAGCAGGTACCTTTATAAAACTTAATGATAGTAGCAATCAGAATGTTGCGCTCTTTCGTCGAATTACAAGAAATGATTGTTAATTCTAGTGAAACATAGAAAGTGAATTTGAGAAGGGAGACATGGTAGAGACGTAGGAAAAAGATAAAGTTTGTATTGGAGTACAATCAAACTAATGTCAATAGGTGAAATGGTAAAACTAATTTAGAGCCCAATTGTTACGCCTCAGATTAGTTAGTAAAACCCTATGGGTCGTTTCGCTTGGAGAAGGTGGATAGGGGTTACCAGACTTAGTATGAATTACCTCTCTATCTAGAACATCTCCCATCCTTCCTCGTTACCGAAGCATAAAACCTCTTCGAATATGACTTTTCCCAAGGGAGGTGTGCGCGTTCAGAGGTGTAACCAGATGGGTACGAAGATTGACCGTTGCTGGGGCGGGGGGCGGGAGAGAGGGATATGTGCAAGATTAGTAGGCAATAAGGCGAGGATTTAGGAAAATTAGTTGTTGGAGCATTCTTATGAAGGTGGGGGCGGGGGGGGGTGAAATAACACGTAAAATGCCTGAGGGGTAAATGGTAAAAAATGCGGGTCCTAACGGATTTTCCTCTGTTATCGGAATTCAAAGAATCATTAACGTATCAATTTATACTCGTCATCGGTATTGCTTAAAAGAAACTTGAAACGAATCCGCCCAGGCCTCCTGGTTTTCACTTCATTAATTACATATGCTTCCATTTAAGTTATGATAGCTGTTTCTAGGTTCCTGGAAGCATGGTGTCACAGTCAGTGTCCAGATTCCAGGCCGTCTTCCATCGTTTATCATCTTATTCAATGCTTAAATGTTATGGTGCTCATAGCCTCTTGACAAAAAATATCATCAGGGCAGATATGTGTTCAACGTCATCTTTATACCCTGTCTGTTAAATTGATTCAAAATGTTCCAGCTGTGGTGATTTGGCCTTCGTCGTGTGAATTATGATGTGGTAACTATATTTTGACTCTACTTATAAAAAGATTACGTAGTCACCCGAAGTCAGCTGAAATATTTCGATCTACAAATATCAGCTTGTTTCAAAACATATTGCCGCCAGCAGTGAGTGAAAAGAGCACTTTGATTGGCAAAAGTAGGGAATATAGAATGAAAAAAATAATAGTTTAAGAATGGTGAGTATTCATGAGATATGAATGATGTGTTTAAGTCTTAATTGTTGGTTTGGTTTCATGGATCTTAGTGAAGCATGACTGATATTTGATTCTTAAATTTTCAGTGGCGTTAATATAGGCCTTTCCGCGTGTTAACAATGGGCTTCGGATGATTGACGGTTGCTAGGGAAAATTCTCCTTTTAATGAAAGCCATATTATTTGACTACTCAATAATAGTTTTCACGCTTGATTAACAGAATTTGCACTTACTTGCTAATAAAAAATAATAATGACTTGTGGGATTTAGTCTTACTTCATTTTCATTTGGTATTAATTTACCGGTGGAATAGTTAATTCTTTCGATGGGACAATAGAAAAGCATTTCGATTTTTCATTTACCCCCTTGATTGAAAGCAACTTGGTCGTAGACATTGTGTCGAATAAAAGAAAGAAAAAAATTTAGCCAAAATGAATAAGATCTCGCATAGGTATTTGTTATCCTCTAAACGAAGAAGCGTTTTCATAAAAAATTCCCTCACTCCCATTAACTATCCAATAATTACGTGCACGCTTGATTTTTATCGATGAAATCTGTGAGTGTTTGTCATGACCATATCATAAGTCCACCTTTACAACATGCATCCGTTGAGATGTTAGCTATTAACAACGTAAAATGCTTGGAAAAAAATTAATTGAGCGGTTTTTTTTACTAAATACTAAGTGGAGTTTATTTTCAGTGTGTGCTAATTGACACGCGAGTCTGCATTGAAAGTTTATAAATTAGACAGCTTTGAGAAGTGTCAGATATGCGATTTGCTCCATGATATGGACGTAGCTGCAAATCGCAGATTTTTCAGCAAATCCGCTCAAAGGCACTCAAAACTTACTCACTTTGAGTGCTATATTTTCTCCCTTTTCCAAAGTAGTTGAAACCATATTCTCTATTACATGATTATTGTATCATAAATTAATCCTTAACATCAGTTGTAACAAAAACACCATTCAAAGATGTTTATATTATAAAAATCGGGGTGTGCAATAGACTTACCTCCACGTAGTGCACCCTGGGCAATATATACTCATACGACAAAAAAAGTATATTAACCAGCAGTTGACTTTTGACTTCAAACTGCCATGATCTCACTGTATGTCATATTTGGCCACTTCCACAGTACTCACCTCACTTTGCCTTTTTCTCTACTTTCGTGTCTGTCTCTTTTACACCTGTGGATCACACTTCTGTTTCCCCTCTCGATATTTTTATGACTTTGAAGTTCCTCCCCTCTGTGAAGCCGGAAGTCAGCTGAAGGGCTAACGCTAACGAACTTAAAACCTGCCATTTGATATCATTTAGTAATTCACTACTCCCATCCACCCCCACCTCCCCAAAAGAACACACCAACAATTAAAACAACCGTTCAATAGAAATCATTGTCTTTTGAACAGATTCTTTAAGTTTCACGTTCTACCTCCATTTTCGTTTTAATTTTTGTAAGATTTTATTCCAATACAAGGAAGAAATGTTGAGAAAACATCGCAAAAGCTTTATTGGTCGTCACATTCTCTTTTGGTTTCAGTTAGTCCGCAGGCACATGGTGATCTTGATAATTCGATAATCAGTTAGTGTTAATGCTACTCCATGGGTGATTTGTAATTCAGTCCTATAAGTGATCTCGGTTAGAATGATAGTGGCCAGCAGTTAAAACAATTCAAAATCTATGATTTTCGTTGCCCCTGTTTCAACTGAAGACATGGTTCAATTACTATAGCAATCGCACTTTACGTTAACTGCGGATTTAATGCCAATATGACTCGTAAAATCAAATTTTAGGACCTCTAAGACAGAGGTGGGATTTCTCACCATTTTGGATTAATCAGCGTTGGAATCTGGAACCTAGATAAACCAGAGCGCCTTGGCTCGATAGATTGGAAATGTCCTTCTTTGAATGAGGCTCGCCAATTTTGATTGTATTTAAAATCTCCAAACGGTTTTCTCTTCGTACATCGAGCATTAAATGTTATATACTTCGGGGTTGTAAAACAAAGTATTTCTCACCTTATATTTGGTTTTATTAATAGTACTTTGAAGAATCTCGTTTTGCCGGGCCACAACAACGCCCCAACAGAATGAATGAAAAATATGATGAAAAATGTGCAATATCTAGTTGTAATTTCATGCCTTATGGGCCGATGTCATACTTTTAAAATTAAATTTACTGGCGGTAAAATACGCCTAGTATTTTTACCCCAAAAACGACTTTAACGAAGTTAGAAAATCATTCTTCTGCCATATAGGAATTTGTTTCCCATAAGAGTTCAATGCAAACCGCGAAGTTTTCCGCTGATTTTATCTTTACTTCTGGTGGAAAGGCATGGGCTAAGCCTTCCTTCAGCCATGCAATTCTGACTATTCCATAATTGTTTATTTAATTGTGTCCTAATGCTTCCTGTGAGTTTCTTCGTGATACTGACATCGCTAAAAGCGTAAGTTTGCTGAATAGCATCCATAAACACTTGTCATCACAAATGTTTGGGGAAAAAAATTTATTGAAGTAGTATGGCAAAACTTCTAGATTTTTGAAGTAAATGCAATCAATTAGATCCGAATATCGTAGAAATGTGTTTTCCGCAATAAAGGAAACGAGAACGAACTGGAACCCTGTTACCATGATCAGCACCTTTTGGATCCTCTCTCCTGTTAATCAATTATTCGATTTCCTGTTGGCCGATTATTGATGTTTCTCACAGTTTGGAATACTTGATATCTTTTGCATTTACTTGGGTAATGGGAATAAGTCAATGTGGTCTTGATACAATTTCTCCCTGATTTCATCATGAAATCTGATAGTGGATCTTTTCGTGAATAATTCATCAACAAATAATTAGAACTGGGAGTCTTTGACAATTGTTACAGTCTGACTGCTGGAAAAAATAATTGTTTACGAAGGATCACAATGTGTCTCAGATCCAAATATGACAGATAAGCTATTTCCTTCTAAATTCTTAATTATTGTCATTATTAGTGCCTATTGTAAGGCAAAATATTGTACACTTTTATTTGTGTGAAATAATTGACGTCGAACTACACATACTTCAACAAGAAAAGGAAATTGAAAGTTAATCCTAAAGTCCAATTCAATTTAAGTATAGGACACAAAATTTTACAGTAAGTACAAAATGGTGGGTTTATGTTAAAAAATTATAAATAAAATTCCAGTATTTGTAAATAATAGTCTTCAATAACGCTTTAGGCCCTATGACAAGTCACATTAAATTACGAAGGATTGTTCGTTAGGTATTTTTTTATTTCGGCTATTACTAATTGGTTTCCACTTTCCCAAAGATCAGGCGACATACTTGAATTGGCGAAATGTTTGCATTACATTTATTTCGTGAAAAAAATCTTTCACCTATTTCTCGAACTTTCTTGAATGTTCTTTTTAACATTTTATTAGGTTGGCAACTAAGTCATTGCTGATTTCAAATAAGAAGGCAAATTCGGAATTTTTGTTTAAAA